AGTCGTATACTAGTCGTTCATTAAAAAATTGGATGAAATTTAACGAAATCTTTGGCAGCCACCGTGCCGTGAAAACTAGAATGTTATCTGGAGGGTAACGGGAAAATCTCAATTAATTTTAGTTTTGTCATTTGAGTTTTCATACAACATAAGTAAAAAAAGAAAACTTTAATGGCCGAATGACTGAATGTAGCCACACCCTATTGAGTTTAATTGCTAACGTTTTGGCAGATCGTTTTCTTCAGAGGTGTACGATCTGCAGCCTATTCAACCAAATGGTTTTACCGCTATGCAAACAAAGCTCTAAGGCTTAATTTTGGTGACTACTGCGAAACGTTTTCACCATCTCAGGCTGTGAAGATGGTCATTAGCCAGACGTTAGCCAACAAATTCAATAACAATCTCGAGTGTGGTTTCAATCAACCAATCAAATATACAAATCATGCCGAGATTCATAAAGAGTTGAACGTTCCAAGGGATTAGATATCGGAGCAGCGGTAAAGCAATTTTGAAGGCTTAGAAGTGACCACATAAGATGAAACTGTCATCAATTCCTTTCTAAAACATTTTGGATAGAATCACAAATAGTGTGGCTAGCAAAGAAGACATAAAAGCATTGTTGTTTTTCAAAATAAAAGTCTGAAAATGCTGAGGAGCTCCTTGCAACATGAAAGTACTGATTTTGCCAATTTTCTGTTGTGGTGGATTGCACGCTCTGATTGCAAATTCTGACCGCCCATTACAAATAAGTTGCGCGAACTTTAAAATGCGCGAATTTCGTCTCATTGACAGGTGCTCATATTCGCTGTGGTTGAGCTGTGGGTAAAATTGAGATTCTGTGGTAAAAGCCCGTTTTCTGACGTTGTTACTTACTTGTTGGGTCCCTTATTCGCTTACAAATGCTTATTCTCGAGCAGTTCGGTTATTCACGAATGCTTCGTTGCAGTATATCACGTAAAATCATGGCAACACTCTCTATGCACAATGGAAATGTTATTGCTTCCGGTGATGGCGTCGAGTGCAAGAAGCCAAAAATGGACGAACAGGTAGCTGGAGAGGTGTAGTCATTTTCATCAAGTCTTTGCGTTTATCTGTCGAAATGAATAATTGATCGTGGATACTATTCCATTCTCTTTCTAGCGTTTAACCATACGCTTCGTGAAACTCAATCCTAACGCTCAAACTCCAGCCTATGGTTCGCTTGCAGCTGCTGGCGCCGACCTCCATAGTGCAGAGGATTGCGTAGTTCCTGCACATGGTGAGTTTTTCCTATGTCTATAGTTCTCCTGAGATATGCTGCTTGTAAATGAGGATATATTGCTGCTTAATTCTATCGGTCTTATGAAACCCGATTTTGCAAAATTTCATTCTCGACTTTATTGTAAGATATTATTTGCATGTACTTTGAAATCATCTTAAACTATCTTGAAATCGCTGAATTTTTTGAATAGTTTTTGTGAACTAAATCGACCCTCGTAGTTGCATTTAGTGATAGGAAGCCGATCATAGACCAGCAAATTTAATAAAAGTATGTAAGGAAATCTCCAAGAACTATCCCAATCAAGACGATATGGTCTCTAACTGCAGTAGGTATGTGATCAATGGTTTACTTTTGTTTTTAGGTAAGTTGTGCGTTTCAACTGGCTTGCAAGTTGAGCTTCCATTTGGATACTATGGTCGAGTTGCCCCGCGCTCTGGTCTTGCTGCCAAAAATTTTATCGACGTTGGTGCAGGAGTTGTCGACAGCGACTATCGCGGTGAATTGAAAGTGCTGCTCTTTAATTTTGGCTCTACTGATTTTAAGGTACTGAAGTATCTTTATTGCCTCAATCATTTGGAAGATGGTCTCGTTCTCTATGTTTGTTGTTACAGATCAACAAAGGCGATCGAATTGCTCAGCTTATTTGCGAGCGTATTGCTCACTGCACATATGAGGAATGTCAATCCCTGAGTGATACCAATCGAGGTGCTGGTGGTTTTGGATCTACTGGAAAGTGATAGGATATCCTCTCCAACCTATATCCCCGTGCATGGCTTTTGTGGTGTTCTGATCTCTTTGTTTTTTTATTGTTAATGAGTAAAGAATCGTTGTTTGCTTAATGCTTAAGATGAAACATATCCGAATTCGTCGTAGATTTGCTATTTCGTCAGAATGGTTCTGAAGGTTGAAAAGAAAATAATACATGAAATTTTTAAAAGTTTTGCTTATATTCGAGTATTCACTAAGGTAATGGTAACTATATTACCGTGTGACAG